AGCGGACGGCCGATGAGGAGTCACTGGACGGAGAGGGGCCCGGCGGCGCGGACGCGGCGGAGGACAGCAGCAGCACAAAGAGGGACGGGCAGACCCCTCGGGCCTCCGGAGCCCCCGCACCACCCAGAGGGCTACCGACACCGTCCCCACCGCAGGGCAGCCCCCAAGACCAGCACCACTTCCTCAGGTCCAGCGTGCGTCCACAGAGCAAGAGGCCCAGGAAGGACGCGCCCTGCGCTGTGGGCACTGGTGGTGCCAGTGGTTCCGGGCCGCGCGGAAAAGGTAAGGGACCCAATCCTTTGATGGGTGGCAGGACCTCCTTGGGTGGCACTTGCAGGGGCACGTGTCCCCTTCTACTCCTTCAACTCCTTCTGTTGCTTTTCTCTTTACACTAGGATAAGGGACAGTGATTGTCCTTTCTCTGGGCAAGAGAAATAGATTCCCAAAGGGTCCCTGAAGGCTTTCCATGGATGGCCATTTTAAATTATGCACAATAGCTCAAGAATAGGCAGAGAAAGTACCTGCTCTCTTTCCACACCTCAAGTGGTGAGAATGTAACAAAGGAACTGACTTTTGAAATTTATGGGCCCGGGGAAGCTGTTGATGAGCGATCCAAAACCTAATGTTAGTGATGGCAGAGGCTGGATTTGGCTCATTGTCCTCCACCAAAGAGTTCCTGGCTTGAAAGTATGAAGAACACAAAAATGGCTTAGAGTTTCAACTGAGGTATACTTGGTGTCACAGGAAGGAATCAACGGTGATCTATCAGGGGGCAGCCCATGGTGCTGTCCTTGAGTTGAGACTGTAACTGCTTTCCTGAGGCTCTTAAAAAGTAATCTTTAAAAAGTGCCATTTTGGTTCACCACATGCCCTTATTTCCTTGTCTGCTTTTGTCTATTTGTATTTAAACATCATGGGTTTTATTAACTACTCAGGCAATTTGCTCTTACATTCTTTTCAGACCAAGCTCCCCCCACCCCTCCTTTTTTTTAAGACAAGATCTGCTAGGTAACCCAGGTTGGCTTGGAATTTACTAAGTAGCCTTAGGCTGGCCTTGAACTCATAGCAGTCTTTCTGCCTCAGCTTCCTGAGTGCTAAGATTATATGCCTAAACTGATGTGGTTAGCTTATAACACCTTTTTAAAAATACCAAATGAAACATCAGTTGTGATTTAGCATGGAGGCTAGAGGCAGAGGCCTGAGCTGGTGGGTCTCTGAGTTCAAGGCCAACTTAATTTACATAGCAAGATCTTGGCCACCTGGGGCTCCATAGTGAGAACCTGTATTTCAAAAAACAAAATCAAATCACTCACTTATAGCACTGGAACTATTATAGTTTGTTTATGTATTTATTTATTATTTCTTTGGCAAGTATTGATTTAAATTACCAAGATGATCCTGGTAGTTTTTTGGGATTTTTTGTTTGTTTGTTTGTTTTTTGTTTTTCAAGACAGGGCATCTCTGTGTAGCTTTGGAACCTATCCTAGCACTTGTTCTGGAGAACAGGCTGGCCTCGAACTCACAGAGATCCGCCTGCCTCTGCCTCCCGAGTGCTGGGATTAAAGGCGTTCTTGGCCACCTGGGGCTCCATAGTGAGAACCTGTATTTCAAAAAACAAAATCAAATCACTCACTTATAGCACTGGAACTATTATAGTTTGTTTATGTATTTATTTATTATTTCTTTGGCAAGTATTGATTTAAATTACCAAGATGATCCTGGTAGTTTTTTGGGATTTTTTGTTTGTTTGTTTGTTTTTTGTTTTTCAAGACAGGGCATCTCTGTGTAGCTTTGGAACCTATCCTAGCACTTGTTCTGGAGAACAGGCTGGCCTCGAACTCACAGAGATCCGCCTGCCTCTGCCTCCTGAGTGCTGGGATTAAAGGTGTGCACCACCAACACCCGGCAGATCCTGGTAGTTTTAAAAAGAAAATGTTTCAAGAGCTAATCAAGAACCCTCTTTGAGGATCTGACCCAAATGTGTCCCATTCAACTCACTTCTGCCTTGCCCTCATCTGGGAGGCTGGCCTTCAGATTCATGGCCTTACCAAATGATGAAGCATTTTGAAGCGAGTATGCCTACTTAAAGATCTAGTATGAGGTAACTTTGTATGTTTCCAAAACTAAAAGTTGCCTCATGTAAGTTTGTTTTGGTGTTAGAAAAACATGAGTTTATAAAACTTGGTTGTTTTGTAAAATCTCTTTTCATTAGAAGATACAGTTATGCTTAAGCTTCTTGGGTCTGTGTTAACCTGGTTTATGTTCTTCGGGTGCCTTTTGGTGGTAGTATTTCAAAAAGACCTGCATGTGGACTCCTACTGATATCACATCTATCATGTCCTTGCCCTCTCAATTCTCAGATTTGCTTTTCTGTCAGAGCTATACACACTTGAGAAAAAGGGAACAATAACAGTTGTTGGTGCCTCTTGAAGTTTGGCTGCTGGGAAGAAATATATTGGTGTAAGCACACTGACTTATATATAGTTCCCTGCATATAGAAGGGGTGCCAAAACTGATGTCCAGTGGGTTGGGAGCTGTGAAGTGATAAAAGGAGGTTTGCTTTTGTTTGCACAGGTTGAAGAGGTTTCTTGGTTAACTTCTCCCTTATGTCATTGGTGCTTCTGGTTCTGATTCTTGTCCACTATAATAAATAAGATATAATAATGCTTCTAGGAGGGAAGTGAGAGTCTGTTTCTTTTGACAACTTCTTTGGCAGTGCCTGGCTTGCTGCTGAGTCCTCTTGGTAGCTGCCATCCACTCACGGGCTGCACAGACCTTTTGGATATACTTCATCATGCCCTGGACATCTCTGTTCTGGCTTTGGAGAAACTTTTGCTCAGTCATCACATCCATCCACTACCAGGAGAAGTCAGGTGTGACCACATGCCATGGTTCTCTGGAGGAACATTTCTCTTATACACTGGAAATCTCCACTTTGGCTGTCCAGCGTGGGTCAGTAGGAAGTGAGGAATGCCTGCAATTTTAGTCTCACTTGGAAAAAAACATGGCTTGCATGAAGAAATCTCACAGCTGAAGCAGTGACAGTTCCTTTGCTTGTTGGATTCCCATCTTTCCAAGTCTCATCCTGATGGGAATTTGGCAGGAATGACTTACGGAGATGATGGAGGTCCTCCTTGTCTGGTTTTCTGTACATAGCTATGGTTTCTTTTTCTGAGGATGTAAGAGTAGTTTCTTTGACTTGAATGAAAAAAAAATTTACAGTGTGATTTTTAATTAATGATAAAGAGAGAGAAGATTTAGTGCCCCCATGAAAGGCATTTTTCATTTCTATAACTTTGTTTTTGAATGGATATAGAAACTACTTTATTGTTTCTATACTGTGTTCAACCTAGAGCAGAAATAGCAGTTCTGGGGCTGGAGAGATGGCTCAGAAGTTAAGAGCACTGACTGCTTTTCTAAAGGACCTGGGTTCAATTCCCAGGACCCACATGGCAGCTCATAGCTGTCTGTAACTCCAGGTCCATGGGACCAGACACAGATGGCAAACACTAATGCATATAAAAGTAAAATTTTTTTAAAAACTTGCCATACAAGCTGTTTCATATTTTTTAAAAAAAGAAAAGAAAGAAATAATAGATCTGCTTGATTCTTCCAGTCCTGCCACACTGCCAGGGAGACTCAAGGACCCTTCTGTGACTGAAACTCAGTTGCCGAGACTGTTCCTAAGAACCTAGTTTGGGACCTAGAGCCCTCTGATGTTCTCTTTGTTTGGCCAGTTCATATACTAGTGGATTACTCAGTAAAATCGTTTTATCTCTCGGAGCCTCAATTTCTTACCTTTAAAAAAAAGAAGAGAAATGGATAGATGGCTCTGCAGTTAAGAGCTCTTGTTGCTCATGGCTCCCAGCACCCCTATGGTGGCCAAAACCATCTGTAACTCCAGTTCCAGAGGATCTGATGCCCTCCTCCAGCCTCTTTACACTGCATATATATAGTACGCAGATATGCATGTAGACAAAACACCAGTACACATAAAAACAAATACATCTTTTTAGAAGGTGTTTTTAAAAGGCACCTTCTAAACATTGCAGTCAGCTTTCCACATTCTAAAGAGGTTTGAACTAGCAGTCTAGGGTTCAGCTTCCACTCCAGAGCTCTCAAATGTCTGGTTCATGTCTGTGGCAGTGGAGAAGTAAGTCATAATGCCTGAACTATAGATTCCTTTTTGAATAATCAAGTGAGCACGTGGCTGAGACCTACACTTATCTTATCCTTCATGGTTGAAGGATTAAACTTTATAGTGACTTGGATCTAATGTGTTCTCAAGAGAACTTTCTGCAAGGTAGGCTTGCTGAAATCAACATACAGTTGTAGATCAGGTGAACTTCTGCTTAGCTTTTGCCTTTGTGAGTGTTCCAAACAGGTAACAGCAAGAACACTACCCTCCTCCATATAGGTGGGGATGGTTTTAGGGCCTGGTGCTGCTTTATTGCTCTGTGGCCACCTTCAAGGCTTTTGATCAGGCATTGGGCCCAGCATTTAATTGCTGGCTGGGCTACAGTGGGTGTATATCATGAGGCCTCTGTGTCTACGCTGTCCAGAGCGGAGGTCAGAGCATCTAAAGACTGAAGGATAGAGCACCTTCCTCTACCCAGTCTAATTCAGTGAGAGCCCATTGTAGTTATGCGTGGGCAGTGACATTAAGCATGCCAAGAAGCTTGAGGCTCAGGGAGAAGAGGAAGAAAAGGGGGACTCTCTCTTGCTTCCACCCATGCCCTCTGTGACATCCACTACAATGGAAGACAGCCTGAACATGTAATCCCTGTTTCTGACATAGACCCCACCTGTTCTCACTGTTTCAGAAGAGGTAGGGCACCCAATACCTTACAGACTGTGATGACACCGAGGCAGAGAGGAAACTATCAAAACTGTGTATAATTGTATATAATTTTGTTTTTTTTTGAGACGGGCTCACTCTAGCTCAGGCTGAATTCACAAAGGGTCTGTTGCCTCAGCTCTTATGTGCAATTATATTACTGAAAGGTTCATGATAAATTATAAAGTTCAAGGAAGTTGTTAAGTAGGTAAGGTAATGTCAACTACTGTGTTGAAGGCTCACTATGTAACTCTGGCTGGCCTAGAACTCAAATTGTAGACAAATTGGCCTAGAACTCACAGAAATCCATCTCCAGCCTCTGCCTACTGAGTACTTAGCTCATTTCTTTTTAAGGTTGAAATGAATGTAGTTTCAAATGTCTATCTTGGTAGTGTTGTCTTTTGCTAGTAAAGAATGCTTTAGCATTTTGATATTTGTACCTTAT